CTATCCCGAATACTGCCAAACATCGGTGGCCCGAGTAACAATCGAAGACGTCTGTATGCGATGATGCTGAGGTCGAAGGCCCTATACGGGTGTCCGGTTTGGGCCGGAGATCTCGGCTCTCAGAACAGAACCCTGCTGCGACGGTCCCAGCGTGCCGTGGCCATTAGGGTAGCCAGGGCGTACCGCACGGTATCATTCGATGCCGTGTGTGTAATTGCCGGACTCCCGCCATGGCACTTGGAGGCCGTCGCCTTGTCTAAGGTATACTGGAGACGAGACAGAGAAAGGAGAGAAGGCGAGGAACCTCCCCCTGAACTTGTCCAGGAGTGGAGAGACCAAGCGCAAAGAAGACTGATTTCGACATGGAAGGAGGAGTTGAGGATGTCCCGGGCGGGCAAGTGGACATTGGACGCTGTCCGCCCCAGACTCCAAGACTGGCTGGAGAGGCGGTGGGGGCACCTTTCCTACCGGCTGGTGCAGATGCTGAGTGGCCATGGCTGCTTTGGCAAATATCTGCACCAAATAGCCGGTAGGGAAACAACATCTCGGTGCCACCATTGTCCTGCAGCATTCGATGACGCGACACACACCATATTTGACTGCCCGGCATGGGAAGCCGAAAGGCGACCCATAGCCCACATCCTGGAGACGATGACACTGACTGGGGTGCTCGACAAGATGCTCCATAGCGAGCTCGACTGGCGGGCATTCCAGCAGTTTTCAGAGAACATCCTAAACACCAAGGAGGAAGCGGAAAGGGTGAGGGAGGCTGATCCAGCCTCCGCCCCTCTTCGTCAAAGGAGAACTGGCCGACGCCGGCGCGTATACCACCGCCAGGCGTAGGCTAGGTACATATTGAAGATCTACATATTTACGGAAGTTATATTTATATTCTATATTTATTTTACATTTTATATTTTATATTTATATGACTATTTGTAGGTATGTAGACTATAAGGCGTTAGTGTAAGTGTTATATTGTTATTATTATTATTATGTTGTTATTATTATCACCGTTATAGTACTTTATACACTTACACTTAATGGTAAGGAGAGATTATTTATTATTTATTTATTAATCATTTACTTTATACACTTGTTGTTGTTGTTATGTTTGGTAAGTAAATAATAAACATAAGGAGCGCTGTACACGCAGCAGCACGGGTCGAAGTTCTGGTAAAGGCTCAGCTGGTACAGAA